CCCTGCCCTTCCCCCGCTGCAACGGTGGAGGCTGGGCCTGAGGGAAGCCCTGCGGGGGCGCTGCTGGGGCCCTCTCTGTCCTGCGGATAAACCTGCGGGATAAACCCACAGAAAGGAGCGAGAGGGGACAACGGGCTGCATCAGGGAGGCACAGATTTCTCTTCAATGCCATATCTGGCCAGACTAAGCTTAGCCGATGCCTGGCTTAGCACAATCATTCACAAATACTGTAGTTGGTTGAATACACAAGAATTACATATGTATAGTTTTAATGTCTGCTCAAATAGGTGTTGGTCAGTGCTAACCGCCTAGCAAACAAATCTTTAAAGGGACTGCCTGGTGGAGATGTGTGTTTCCAAGAGCCGTGGAAAAAAAGGTTGAGGTTTGTCTTCTCAGAACATGGGTGTCCCCAGACTTAATTTTTGGGAACAGGGAATGAAAGTTCACACTGAAAGTATAAGAAAAAGCATCCCAACAAAGATCCTGCTGTGAAGCTAGTCCTAAGAGCAGGAGTCACGCTGCAGGTGCTCTTCCTACTTGGTACAGTGAAAGCTGCTTTTAAAGGATGCTGTTTTGACTGTGTGTTTTGGGGAGGTTCACATCTTATCATACAATCACAGAATGGTTTGGGTTCAAAGGGACCTTAAAGCTCCTCCAGTCCAACCCCTGCCATGGGCAGGGACACCTCCACCAGCCCAGGCTGCTCAAAGCCCCGTCCAACCTGGCCTTGGACACTGCCAGGGAGGGGGCATCCACAGCTTCCCTGGGCAACCTGTGCCAGTGCCTCACCACCCTCACAGTGAAGAATTTCCTCCCAATATCCAGTCTAAGTCTCCCCTCTTCCAGTTTAAAACAATTCCTCCTCATTCTATCACTACCTGCCCTTGTAAAAAGTCCCTCCCCAGGTTTCCTGTAGGACCCCTTCAGGAACTGGAAGGCCACAATAAGGTCCCCCCGGAGCCTTCTCTTCTCCAGGCTGAACAGCCCCAACTCTCTCAGTTGATCCTCGAAGGGGAGGTGCTCCAGCTCCTGATCATCCTCATGGCCATCCTCTGGACCTGCTCCAACAGCTCAATGTTCTTCTTATACTGGGGGCCCCAGAACTGGATGCAATACTCCAGGTGGGGTCTCACGAGAGCAGAGGGGCAGAATCCCCTCCCTCACTATACTGGTCACACTTTTCTTGATGCAGCCCAGGATGCTGTTGACCTTCTGGGCTGCAAGCGCACATTGCTGGCTCATGTTGAGTTTTTCATTGACTGACACCCCAAGTCCTTCTCCTCAGGAGAAGAGATCTTCGTGTGCCAAGTTTTAGCCCATTCTGCTACTAAGGATGT